GGGGGGGTTGCACAACAGGTAGGATGCCTTGGGCGGAGAGGGAGGGCAGGAGCTCACCTGGGCACCAGGAAACCAGAGAGGAGAGCGGAGAACTGGAGCCAGCGTGGTTTTCCACTGTATACTCCCATACAGCAGAAGAAAACAGAATAAAGTGCCTTTTTCGAGGTGCATCATGGTTTTCATAAGCCATCTCCCTCACGTCGCCGGGCTTATTTTAAGCCCAGAGAGCTGCTGAGCAACATTTGGAGGTAATGGACCAAATTCTGGGCTCTTGCTCAAATTTTCCCCAGCCTGCAGTCCTAAAAACTTCAATAGAAATTATCTGAGGAAGCGCAGAGGAAAAACTGAATGCTGAGCTCAGGCTGGGACCCAACAATAACACCACTGCTGCCACCTCCCCACCTCCTAAACCCTCCATCCCGAAGGGGGAAAAATTATGTTTGCTTCTGCTCAGGGGCAAATCACATCCTCATCCTTGGAAGCTGGTGGCATCCACCAAGGACCCCCTTGGACGTATCTACCGCATTTCCCTTCCAAATTATTTTTGCTTTGCGCCCAGGGATTAAATAGAAGGAACGTGGCCTATTTTTTTGTGAGGAGTCTTGAAAGCAAAGCAGGTTATTTTTAAGGCTTGTGGTTGTATTCCCACTGCTGGGAAACATCCCCTTCCAGGGTCAGGGGAGGACAGGCAGCAACCTGGAAGACGCCAGCTCTGTGGGGCCAAGCTATGCTGGCAGGGTTTAAATCCTGAAGAAAGCTGCTGGCTCTGCCGGGGTTATGCAGGGCTTGTAATGGGATGGCTGGGGTAGGATCAGGCCCACTGCTACCCACCCGGGGAAGGGCTGAGGGTCTGGGGGGCTCCTGTCTCCCCGCCTGGCCACAGAGCAGACTTAAACCGCAGCCAAAACAAGCTCAAAAGTTTCCTGGCCAGGTCCTTTGGCTTCCCTGGGTCAGAAGCCTTGTGCTTTCACCGGAGCAGCCTGCTCCTCCTCACACCAGTTTGG